AGAAATAAATGTCTGTGATTTCTAAGCCTCCCAGTTTATGGTGTCTGGTTATAGCAGCCCAAATGCGTTAAGATAGATACCCAGTTAAATTTGAGTTTCAGGAAAATAATAACTTTTTAGTAGAAATACCTTCCAAATACTGCATGGGACATATTTGCAGGCCATACTTATACCAAAAAAAAAAGTCATTATATATGTGAAATTCAAATTTAACTGAGCATCCACATTTTATTTGCTAAATCTGGCCACTTTCCAGGGCTTTTGGGTGAAACTGTTTAGGCTCCACCATCTCCAAGGTGCCTGGCTCAGGGGCCAGGGAGGGCTGAAATCCAGCCCCAAATCCCTTACCCAATAGCCCTTGCCCGGCTGTGTCTCTAATTCACACACAATCCCAAGGGCTGGAAGCACCCTGGACTGGCCCCCTTGTTAACTGTGTCTTTAAAATGTTCTGGGCTTTACGATGCTTTGACATCCTGGGACCTCGAAGACCCAGGCAAGGAGCAGGGTAAGCTAATTCCTGGAGATAGCGAGCATGCTTTGTATCAAAGCAGACCAACCAATCCCGAGCCCAGGCCCCACGGCCATTTTTTATCAGGCTGCTATAGTCCAGGACACTCTGCCCCTACCCTAAATCTCCCCAGGCCACACATCAGGCCCCTGCAGCCCAGGGTCCAGGAAAATGATCCAAGCTATCCAATCCTAACCCTGTCTCCCCATTCCTTCCTATGAAAGCAATCCACAGCAGAGGCTCCCCACACCTCCCACCCCAGCCCCAACTGCCCCTGGGGCCTCCACGTGGGGCACTACCTAAAGTGGCAGGCCCCTTCCTCTGGGAACTATGAGTAGCAAACTGTCTTTTCAATGGCAGTTGTCTCCTGATCTGTTGGCCTCCCTATGCCTGAATAAAAACAAAATTCCGAGTACATTTTTAAACAGCACCCACCAAACTCCACTCAACAAACTGCATAGAGTCCCAGGTGGGGCTAACGTACCGCAGAGCCTTTAAGATGAACCAGGCTTTACAGGACAGCTGGGCCAACCCTTTTTGTCTGCAGCTAGAAAATTGAGACCTGATAGGGAAGTGACTGCCCTTCTTAGCAGTAGAGTGGGCAGTGCCAGGCCTGGAACCACAGCCTCCTGAAGCCCCGGCCTCTGCTCTTGCCCATACTCCTCCCAGGGCAAGCTGGCCCCCCAAGCTCTGCAGCTGGGGGTGCAGCCTCCAGAACGCCCACTCTCCTCAGTTGTGAGGGTTCTCCTTGGCCTCAGAGACTGGTGACATACATGGCCCGCTCCCCACTCACCACCAGTCCTCTAAGTGGCCCTGGACAGATAAGCAGGGCCTTGGCAATCCGAGGAGGATGTGAGGCAGGCCCGTCCCTGCTCTGAGGGTGTGTCCTTCCTGTCCCAGACTGACCACCCTGCCAAGAAGTCACTCCAGGCCTGCTGATCAAAGCACCCAGCACCCAGTGCCAGAACCCAGGGCAAACCCTTTCCCTCAGGCACAAGTCCAGGGGAAGGAGGGGTGGCTGCCTCTTGGAAGACAAACCGCTCCCTTATGTCCTGGGCTGGAGCCACCCTGCTGTGTTATATAATACAAAGCTATGACATAGGGAGAGGGTTGCCCAGAGGAGAATGAAAGCCAAGGACAGGGCATTCCTTCCCGTCTGAGCACCTGTCCCATCCCTCCCTGAAGTTGGGCCAGACCAGCTCCACCATCTCCAAGGTGTCTGGCTCAGGGGCCAGGGAGGACTAAAATCCAGCCCAGAATCCCTTACCCAACAGCCCTTACCCGGCTGTGTCTACCAACAGGGGCGCTCGTGTCTAATTCACACACAATACCAGGGACTGGAAGCACCCTGAACTGGCTCCCATATTAATTGTGTCCTTTCTGTCCCAAATTGACCACCCTGCCAAGAAGTCACTCCAGGGCTGCTGATGAAAGCACCCAGCACCCGGTGGCCTGATAGGGAAGTGACTGCCCTTCTCAGTGGTGGAGTGGGCAGTGCCAGGCCTCTGACAGCAGGGTCGTGTGCTGCAGAGGACACATCCCATCAGCTGGAGAGAGAGGTCAGGGCCACCCTGTCCGACCTGTCCCAGATCACCTTGAGCTCAGCCTGTTGTCCTTGTCTACATTGTGAAGGCCCCTCAGAGAGCCTGGCACTGTGCTACTGCATAGCAGGCTGGGGGGCCCTGTCCATGCTCCTGGGCCTGTGACGGGAACAGCAGCACCAGGTAGCCCCAGGCCTGGGTTCCAGGTTCCACTGCATAACCTCAGGCAACTCACTCCCTGGGCCTCTGTTTCCTCATTCACACAATGAAGGTGTTGGGTCAGACGCTCTGGACGGGAAACAGATTTCTCAGGGGACAGTCACCTGAGATGATCTCCTGCCCCTCCGTGGCTTGTCCACGGAGCAGCAGAGGACTGAGACCCTCAATGTGTCCCTGGACATGAGCATGGGAAGAGGCCCTGTGTTCCGAGACAAGGCTTCCCTTCCCATGCCCCTCCTCTAAACCATGGTCATCCTAATTGTCCACCTTACGGCCGGTGGTCCTCAGAGAGACTAAAGGGGTGACCAGCGGAGCCAGCACATGTCAGTGGAACTTCTCCAGGTACAGGGCTCTGTGCTGGGCATGGAGAAGCCATGATCCTATGGCATGGGGCGCCCCCAGCAGCGTGCACAATCTGGGGTTCCTATGGAGCAGGTTCTAGGGGCTGCTGGAGCCAACCCCTCTGTTTCCCCTCCCAGGGGCCTAGCCCGCCCCCTCCTCTCCCAGGGCTGCAGGAAGTCCTGCCATAGGCCAGCAGCACTCCTGACTTCCCCAGACAGGCTACATATGAGGAGGGGCCAGGGCACTGGCAGCAGAGAGAGAGAGAAGCTGGGAGCAGACACAAAATCAAGCAGTCTCCAAGGACCCCAGAAAAGATCCCCCAGGACAGCCCTGGCTGCCGTCAGTGGCTGTCACATGGTGGCTGGTTACACCCATGGGCTCAGGAGCTGGCAGCCTGAATTTGGGTCCGGGCTCTGCCACCTTCCAGCTGTGTAACCCAACCTTGCTGTGCCTCCCTGTCCTTCCCATACAATGGAAACAGCAGCAGCACCCGATTCAAGGTGTGGTTGTGAGGTTTGAATGAGAAACACGCCTGGCACAGAGCAAGCTTGCAACAGGCATGGCTGTTGGGATTGTCACCACCTCCCTGGATCCACTCGGCTACAGGGTCCACCCCGCCATCTCCGTTTCCCATGTGCAGACATCAGAGGCACAGCTGGGCAGGCCACATGGTCCTGAAGACCTGGTTCAAATCTGGGATCCGTAATGTAGCATGGTGATGTCACCTCTCTGCCTCTGTTTCCCCAGCTGCAAAATGCAATGATAATGATCACGAAAGTCTGCCAGGGTTGCAGAGTGACTTACAAGGAATTATGCATTGGAAGCACCTGTCAAGGGTGGGAATAAAGGCTGGATAAATGTGAGCTATTATTATTGGCTCCTGTCCCACAGCAGGAACCCCAGTTCACCGCCCCAGGGGTCATGTAGCTATTTCATAAAATACCAGGCCTGCTCTAGAAGTTTCTGGTTTGCTTGTCGACCATTCTCTCTTCGACTCCACCATGGGGCCAGTAGGGGAGGGATAATCCTTATCCCTGGAGGGCACCAGCCTCCTTCCCCAGGAGGAAGAGCAGGAGAGGAAGCACTCAGCCCCTCCCTCAGCACAGGCTGGCCATGCTTCACCTTAGCACGCCGCTGTCACAGCCCCCAGCGTGTGGGGCAAGCGACACTGCTGGATGGGGCCTAGGGCAGTGCCCACTGTAGGCTCCCAGGGGGTGTCAGCTGCAGAGGCATGGAGCAGGGAAAGGTCTTTCCAAGTCTCTTCCTGGAGACTCAGTCCTGGGCCATCTGGGGACAGGGGCTCCTCCTCTACTCCTCGTACTTCTGATGGCCTGGCACCAGAGTGGAGACCACATTCTTTCTTCTGGAAAGCTCACAAGTCCACACAGCAGGGGAGGAAGGATGGGTTATGGAAGAGGAGGGGCAAGAGGACAGACTGAGGCCAGAGAGAACCCTTTTGCAGAGCAGCTTCCAGCCAGGCAGGAGGGCTGCGTGGTCTTAGCACACACAGTGGCCCCATGTCTACTTGGAGCCCCTTGCCCTCTAGTCCTACCACCAGGACCACTGGCCTCACTCTCACCGCCCTTGCTAACCAGAGCTCTGGAGACCCCACTCAGGAAAGAGATAAGCACCCACGTGCACAGGGCCCTCACCCTCCACTGGGAACCCCCTCCCTGATCACTTACCCCACACCCTGCACCTATCTGCCCAGCTTAGGGGCCTAGAGTCTCTACTGGGTGTAGCTGAGGCTCACCCTGGCCTTCTCTGTGAAGGGCGCCCCTCTGGCCTCTGGCCTCAAGGCTGGATGCAGGGTCTGGGGCAAACAGCACTGGGCATCCTCCACCTGTCCTGGTCACCCTTATTCAATCCTGGTGGCCACAGGCCCAAGCAGCTATCAAAAGGGAAGCAGAAAGTCAAGAGGCTGCATTTGCATATGAGAAAAGTGACAACTAAGAGAGATTCATTTTTTAAAAGGAATGAAGCAAAAGAAATGAGAAGAGAGAGGAGAGATCAGAAAGGAATGAGGAGAAGAGAAACCCAAGGCTGCAGACCCAGACCGCCCACCCTCCAACTCCCCCCTCTCCCTCCCTTCCCACCCCACCAATGCGGGGCTCCCTCCAGCCTTCCCCCAGCCTTCCCCCTTGGCCCCCTCAGCTCCTCCCACCTCCCTCCCTGAAGTCATCCTGTATTGGAGCTGGCAGACCCAGCTTTCCTCTCTGGGACACCCGTGGTTCTGGATCTAGGGTCCCTGAGAGGGAGGAGCCCAGGAGGTGCTGAGGCCTTCCACAGGGACAGAAGGGGTGGTAATGCTGGGGCGCATGCCTTCCCCTCACCTCCTTTTGTTTAATGAACACATCTCCCTTTTTCTTTAATTAGGTGGAAAAAACAACTTGAACCAGACTTTTTATTTCCCAGAAAAGCACATGCCCAGACCCAGTAAATATGTCATTAATCATCATTCCTCGGCAGAGGAGCACGCTGGGTGCAGGGAGGAGGGGGAGCAGTCAGAGAGCCTAATTAGAGCTGGGCCCTTCGCTCCCCTCCTGCGGCACTGCACCCACAGCCCAGGGCCCATCCATTGGAGGGGTTCCTGGCAGAGTTCAAGCTTATGTAAATGTCCCTCGTTAGCATAACAGAAAAGTAAAGAAGAGAAGAATAATGCCGACCCAGTCCTCACCACCTTCCCGCCTCTGCTCACCCTACCCGAAGTCTTAGTTCCATCCTTCCATCCGGGAAATTGTCCGTATTATCACTTGGCTATTTATAGACGGTGAGGTCTGCGGAAGAGCGCAAGCCAGGGTGGTCATGTGGGGCCGGCTGCTGCTCCTTCTCTGCCCGGGCTTTGGCTTGAGGTTCAACTTCACTCCTCCACCTGCTTTTGCTGGCCCCAGAGCGGATCGAAGGCTGCGAAGGTTCTCACCCTGTGTGCCAATGGTCCTTCCCCCTGCTTGCTGGGTCTGGCCACGTCACTCTCCTCTGCCCAGGGCCAGGGCCAGGGCCAGCACCCAGAGTCCCAGCATCGTGTGGCTCTCTAGAATGTCACAGTCTGGCGTTGCCTCCTGCTGTTCTAGATACAGTCTCTGGCCCTGTTCTCCTGAGGCCATGAGGTTTGCCCCAAGTTGAGAAAAATCACACTGAATTAAGGACAGAGAACGTGGGGTCCCAGGTGCCTACAGGCTTCTCCCTGTGGCCCTAACTGTTCCCACTTGTCCTGCCAAGAGCACAGTGCCCACCCTCCAGCACCCCTGGGGCTGGCAGAGGCTATGGCTCAGGGTTCACCCACACTTAAGGGCAAATCCTAGCTCCACCCAGCAAGTTCCTGGCTCACTTGGAACTCAGGTTTCTCTTTGGCTAATCAAAGCCACCCATCTTTTGGCTGCCTCCCTTCCAGGGTCCTCATAAGAAATCGAGACATTGCCATTGTCACTTTATGGGAGATTTTGAGGGAGGAGTGCTCTGTTCATCTATTCTCTGGCTCCAGTTAGGGGGAAACAGGACTGCGCCCATAGTGAAGTCCCTTCCTAGTACCTCCTAGTACCAGAAGCCTTTGCATACTGACAAGACTCCAATCCCAATGTGGAAGCGCACCCCACACACCCAGCACACCCTCCCCAGGGTGCACCTAACTTAGTGGGCCCCAAAGTGATGGGGAAGTAGCTGCAAAGAGGGACAGGAAAGGGAAGGGGGTAGCAGCCACAATGGGGAACCAGCTTCGGAATGACACTGTGGCTCAGTAAAAAAAAAAAAAAAAAAATGACCTGGGAAAATGGGAGACCAGAGATTAAGATGAGTTTGCTTCCTAAGGCTGCCATTACAAAGCACCACAGTTCGGTGCTTATAACAACACAAATCAATTATCTCACAGTTGTAGAAGCCAACAAGTCTGAAATCAAGGTGTCAGCAGGGCTGTGTCCCCTCCAAAGACTGCAGGGGGAAATCCTTCCTTGCCTCTTCCAGCTCCTGGCAGCTCCTGGCATTCCTTGGCTTGTGGCAGCATCCCTCCAATCTCTGCCTTCACCTTCACCTGGCCTTCTCTATGTCTGTCTTCTTCTTCTCCTCCTCCTTTTCTCCTCTTCCTCTTTTCCCTCTCTTTCTCCTTCTCCTTCTTCTTCTTCTTTGGCAGGGTCTTACTCTGTGGCCGTGGTTGGAGTACAGTGGCACCACCTCAGCTCACTGCAGCCTCAACCTGCTGGGCGCAAGTGATCCTCTCACCTCAGCCTCCCAAGCAGCTGGGACTACAGGCACAAGCCACTATGCCTGGCTAATATTTTTTAATTTTTATCTTTTTGTTTTGTAGAGATAGGGTCTTTCTGTGTTGCCCAGGCTGGTCTCCAAGTCCTAGGCTCAAGCAATTCTCCCACCTTGGCCTCCCAAAGTGCTGGGATTACAGGCATGAGCCTCCATGCCCAGCAGACTGTCTTCTCTTCTTCCAAGGACACCAGTCATTGGGTTTAAGGCTCACTTTGAATTCAGTATGAGCTCATCTCAAGAGCCTTAACTAATTACTAATTGTTTGACTAAACTACAAAGACCCAAGTAAGGTCATATCCTGAGGTTCCAGGTAGACAAAAATCTGGGGACATTATTCAACCTCCTGTAGGAGCCTAGTACTTATTTCAGGACCAACTTGAAGTGTGAATTTGGTCAAGCTCCATAGCCTCTGTCTAGCTCAACTATTTCCTCCCCTATCAAATGGGAGACAACGGTATCTGTCTCGTCTGTGGTCTGATCGAGGGACTAGGGAGACCAGGGAGTGAAACGCTTGGAAAAGTTGAAGGGATGATATAGGCAAATGGTCAAAAGGTTGATGGGCACTGATGCTGCCCATGTCCCCGCCTGCCCCTGCCCTAACTCTCATTCCCAAACCGCGCCTCCCTGCAGACTGTCCCTCCTCAGGGGCCACAGTCTCTGCTGCTCGCAAACCATCTCCTTGCTTCCTACAGACCCTGGACTCACTCAGGCACCAGAGGCAGAACACGTGTGAGTTCATTTCGACAAGGGTCCTCTCTAAAGCCTGGTTTCCATGAAGCCTAGCCTGGGTTCTTTTGTGCTTTTAGCATGGGAATCCAGGCTAATTTTCACACATGATGGAAAACTGTCTAGTTCCTTTTTCCTTCCACAGCCTGGCACTTAGCCAGGCCAGGGAGCCAAGGGTAACTGAGCTCTGCGTAGACACCAGCAGCCCAGGCCTCCTAAGCTGAACCCCTCCATCCACAGCTCCCCCTTCTGTCTAAGCTGGTGCTTGTTCACCCCCAACCCAGGCTGACCACCACAGCCAAGTGGCACAGAGCTTTCTCTCCTCTCTCCCCTTCTCCCAAGACCCTGCTTCGGGACGGCAAGCGGGAGAGCATTGTCAGCACTCTCTTCATCTCCCCTGGCGATGTGGAGAATGGCCAGAGCATCGTGTGTCGTGCCACCAACAAAGCCATCCCCGGAGGAAAGGAGACTTCCGTCACCATTGATATCCAGCGTGAGTACCCATTCCCCCAGCCCAGCCCTGCCAGGCCCAAGGTGAAACACCCAGCAACCCTGCCCATAGCCCAGCCCATCTAACGGCAGGAAATGGGTCAGACAGCTCTGTGGATCGGCCCGCTTGTAAGTACAGGCAGGAAGGACCATCTTGGCTTCCTTATTGTCAAGGGATACAACTTCATGGGATACAACTTCATAGATGAGGGTCCTTTGCAAAGGACGTCTTCAGGCCACATTTCAACATCTGTATAAGGTGGAACTTTCACACCAGTAAATACTGTCAGCTGCTGCCCCTGCTGGCCCCTCTGTTGGGGAGGAAGTCTGAGTGGAGAGCTGAGGGTCAGATGTGGGGATTTGAGGGGTCCTCAGGCTCCAGAATGGGTGAGCAGTGCTATGATCTGGGGAGGGTGCACCAGCCACTCTCAAGGAAGGGTCGATTGAGGATGCAAGAGGAAGGAAATCTACATCCATTATCTCATTCAATCTTTTTGTTTTTCTTTTGTTTAATCTTTTTGTTTTCCTTTTGAGACAGAGTCTCCCTCTGTTGCCCAGGCTGGCATGCAGTGGTGCAATCTCAGCTCACTGCAACCTCTGCTGCCCAGGGTCAAGCAATTCTCCCGCCTCAGCCTCCTGAGTAGCTGGGATTACAGGCATGCACCACTACGGCCAGCTAATTTTTATATTTTTAGTAGAGATGGGGTTTCGCCATGTTGGCCAGGCTGGTCTTGAACTCCTGACCTCAAGTGATCCGCCTGCCTTGGCTTCCCAAAGTGCTGGGATTACAGGTGTGAGCCACTGTGCACAGCCTTATTTAATCTTTACAACAACTGTTTGGAGAAGGTGTGACTGTGATCCCTACCGTGGGAAACTGAGGAACCAAAAGGGTGATTAACTTGCCCAAGGCCACTTAGGTTTCAAATGCAGGCAGCATAGCTTTCCAGAGCCCACCCTGGTGACGTCCTCTCCATGCTCCCGCACAGCCAGCCTTCAGTGCACCGTGTTGGGATTAATATTGGCAATCATGACACTTCAAGGCTCCACCAGCATCGCATCCCAAAACTACCTAACAAAGACTCCTAAAGTCTCCCTAAGGTGCCTGTCAGCCCCAGAACCAAGAAGAGCTCAGCAAGTTGTTCCAGTGGCCTTCCTGGGTTAGTCCTGGATTCAGTGGGTTTAAGGGTCAGGACTCAAAAGCGGACTTCTCTCCTCTGAGATTCCCTCCCTGCCGCCCAGCATAATACTACCGCACGCTGGTGGCTGCTTCTGTCCTGGGCTCTAAGTTACAAGGCTGGCGCTGCAGGCTGCCGTTCAAGTCCTCCTTAGCCTTTTACTCATTTTAAAGCAAGGGCATTTAAAAACACTTCCTACCAGCCCTGATTCATCTAAGGCTTCTGGATTCTGGCCTCCGTGTGGCTCTCCAGGGACCTGGAGTCCAGAGATGGGGTCTTAGGATGCTGAGAGCTCATCTCGACAGCCAGAGAGCAGAAGTTCCCACCCAGTGTCAAGAATCCTGACAGACACTATTCAGATTCCACAGGGCAGAAGAAATGGTTAAAAACCTCAGGCAGGCTCAAGACACCCAGACACAAAGGCTGAGTTCTTGGAGTGGGGCAGTGGGGTTGGGTGGGGAGGGGGACTTTATCTTCACTCTTCTGCCATCAGCTATTAACAAATGTCTCTGTCCCCCACCACCACCCCTGACACACCCCTCCCCAAGGAGTCTTCTTGGAGTCCTCATTCACAAGGAGCCAGAGCAGCAGAGGTCCAGCCAAGCTTAGAGCTAGGGTGATGGCGGGAGGCCCCAAGACACAAAATGCAAGGAGGCCTCCCTCTAAGACCAGCCCTGAAAGTGAGGCAAGGCCTCCTTAACCTTTGACCCTGGGCTCTTCCCTCTCCTGGCCCTGGCCTGGGTCCTGGCTCTGAGCACCACCTCCTCCTGCATGGTGAGCAGCCCGCATGGAGCAGTAAGCCCCGTTGCTGGAAGAGGTGAGATGCTGCGAGGCCAGGCAGTCCAGTGTCCAGGATGGCTCCGCCACCCATAAGCGGGCTGGGCCCACATCTGTGACATCACTCCTGGGGACTCTGGTTCCTTGTCTGATTTAACCAAATGACATCCAAGGGCCCTTCTTGCCCTAGGACAGGCCACAGATCAGAGCTCTCTGTTCAGACTCAATCCAAATCAGGAAAGGGAGAGGGCAAGAGACACAGAGCATCCAAGCCTCCTACTCCCAGGCTGCCATTTGATTTTCAGCCACCACAGCCCCCTACTCTCCTTCCCCAGCTGGTCCCCAACCTGGTCAGAAGGCCTATACAAAAGGCCACACTTGGACAAAAGTGACAATCTAGCTGGCCCCCTGCGACAGCTGCATAGGTCCTGGCAGCGAGAGGTGGGAAGAAGCCGTGTTTCCTGCTCCAGGCCACCATCCATCGCCCCAGGAGAACCTCTCCAGGCAATGGGAAAGTCACCATCCTAACCACAGCCCGTTCTACACTCATGCCCATAGAGGATCGTTTACCAGGCTGCACGTGTCAGTCTGCACCTGGGGGAAAACACTGGGCCTTGCCAGGTCTCTGGACAATTTCTGGCTTCCTTTCCAAAGACATCTCAGCCACCTTAGGTGGCATCAGAATGAGGTCAGAGGGACACCTGGAGCCCAGCGGCCCAGTTTCCCAGATCAGCCTCATCCAAGGCAGTACTGGGTAGTGATGAAGGCCACAGCATTCTTCCTGCTTTGAAGTCTGGCTCCGCCACTTACTGAGTGGCACTGACCTGGTTAATTAACCTCTTTGTGCCCGGTTTCCTCGTCTGTACATGGAGGTGGTCATGCACCTCCTAAGGCTGCAGTGAGGATTAAATGAAATCCTTCCTGTCAAGCCCCTAGCGCGGTATCTGACACGTTGTGAGTGCCCCACACCTGTCACCTGCTGTCAGGATGCAGACCCACCCATAGGTGAGTGGCGCCCTCCTCAGGTGTCCCCACAGTCCTAACAGGCAAGGGATCGCCATCTGTTTGTCCCAGCACCCACCTCCCCTAACCTGAAGGTGCTTATCGTTCTTGCCAAGCAAAGCGCACATTCTCCACCCCTCCCTCCCCACTTCCCCCTCCTCCTGCTCCTGCTCCTCCTCCCTTTACTCATTTGTTCATTGGGTCAGCTTCCAACTGTTTACTAAGGGCACCACGGGCTGCCTCAGAGCTGCCTTTGCAAACCTGCTCATTTTCTCAGTCAACCAAGAAGCATCCAAACTCAGCAAAAGCACATTTGTTGTTTGTTTCTCTTGGTCTTCGTATGTTACCCAACGGAAGACAAAGCCCTCAGATTGAGTAATGGGAGAGAAAGCTTAACACCCCCAAAGCCTCACCACATCTGGACTCTGTGTCCAGCTGCCAAGTTTCAAATGAATGTGCTATGAAATCACTGAGTCATTAAGTTTCTCTCTTTTCCCACCCTCTCCTCCATGTAATACTTCCCCTGAAAACACACACACGCACGCACACGCACACGGGCGGATGGAAACACTAACAGACTCTCAGCTGTAACATCTGTTCAATGTGATCTCAGTTCCACCAGCTACATCAAAGCTGCCCTCCCGCAAGTTACACTGCCGACATCACAAGTGGGATTAAAATCATGTTTAATAGTTGGATATGGCATAAACTATTTATACCTCTGGAGCTTGGCAGACTCCTGAAAATTTATATTCTGTGTACCAGAAGTGGAGAGAGAAGCTTGGGCACCTCTGGTCTTGGGGTGGAGGTGCAGATAAGGCCAGTGAGTGTGGAACCCTTGTGGGTGGCTTCAGGGCAGGTGATCACCACGGACGATGCCGTGGAAGCTGGGGGAGTGCAGGAGAGAGGGAGGCCTCACGGGTAAACTGATCATGGCAGGAGTGTGACGGGGCATCTGGCAGCAAGAAAGTCCTACAGCAGGTGCATGACCTGCCTCTCTGCCTCTCAGATCTCATCACTTTAGAGAGGACCCCCAGGTGAGGGAAGGGCCTCCTGGAACAGTGCCCCAAGATCTGTGGCAGGTCCCTCAAGTCTATGGGACTGGCACTCACCACCTCAAACCAGACGTGGTGTGGGTACTCCACCTCCCAGCATTGGCCTTCATAATGCGAGGGCACGGGCTGGCCGTGTGTTTGGATCCAGGTGGCAATTCCCGAGCTACTCTGCCTCAGCGCTGCTCCTCCAGCCCACAGCGAGATGCAAGCTCCTCTCTGGGTGCCCATCTTCTCTAGATAGGGTCCCACGGATGCCCAGCTTAGCCAGCCAGCCCGGCATGGAAAGAGGGCTGGGACTCCTGATTCAGCCTTGCCCTGGAAGCTAGGGTTCAGCTTCGGGAGAAGCTGTGGGGCTCTGGGGTTGGGAGACGAGTTCTCATGGCTATTCCTTGTCACCCCATCTTTGTGACCACCTGAATTATGCCTTAAAACTGGGATTGAGATCATGAAATACCCACCACTTCCCTTGTAATTCTCCACAAAAGGCAGGCCGGCCGGCTGCACCAGGAGTAGATGTTTCCCGGATTTTTGGTCCCCCAACCAGAACTGGGGAAAATGTGGGAGAACAGACTCCCCGGCACAGTCGGCCACCTGCTACTCAAGAAACAGAGTTCTCTCCTTAGTGCCTGCAGATACCAGCACAGCCCCTGGGGCCATTTCCCAGGACAGCTCCTGCACCTGGCACTAGGCAGGAAGACAGGGTCCTCTTGGGCACCAGAAGAAAGAGGGCGGCTGAGCAGTTATATGATTCCAACTGCAGGGTAGGGCCAGCTCAGTCTGCAGCTGAAAGGCTGAGGGTATGATGACTCTCTGAGGGTCTCAGGACCCCACCATAGTCCCAGCCAGCACCCAGGCCAACTGGGCTGGGTGGGGCTTTGCTCCCTTTATGGTGCCCCCATGGGGACCCAGAGAGACCAGCATTTTTCCTCATTGCCTCTGAGACACTGGCTTCTTTACTTCTTTTTCTGGAAATGAGCTGGGACCTCTCAAAGTCCCCATGACTTTCCAGCAATTTGCTCTGCTTGTTGGTGGGGACTGACCCAGAAGATGTGGCCCACGGCCCAGCCTGTCCATGGGCACCAGGTCCCGGGCTGCCCACTCAACTCAGCCAGATCTCTGGGCTGTCAAAGGGAAGAAGGATGGGAACTGGCTCAACATCTCCCCTCCCTCCAAGTCTGGATGTCCCGGGGATATGTAGGCCAAGGGCCACCAGGATCCCAGCAGCGGGAGTAACAGCAGCCTCTGGAGACGGTCCGGAGCCAGTTGCCCCTGAGCCAGGCAGTGGAAGCCATTCCCACCTCAGTCTCTCTGTGGCAGCCCCTCAAGCTGTTTCCCTCTTTCCATCCTGCAGGCTGCTCCTCCCTCGTGTCTCTTTTTCTCGTTCTTTGACTGGGTCTTTCTCTCCAACACCCTGTCATTGTCGGGCCCTGCGTGCCGGGTCTTCATGGTCTTTCCTGCTTTTGCTCTGAAATCCTTGTCTGATTCTGAGTCTCTGTGAACAGGTCAGTCTCTCCATCTCGCTGTCACTCTGCCCTCTGCTTCTCTAGGTGTCTTTTTCTCACTCTTTCTCTGCACTCTCAGTTTCTGTGTCTTTCTATCTCTCTGCCTGTGTCTCGCTCTGTCCCTGTCACTTCTTTATCTCTGTCTCTCTCTCTCTACACATGCACACATACACATAGACACACACATACACACGTACACACATGCATGCACACATACACATGCACACAGCACACACACATGCACACACCTACACACACGTGCACATATATATGCACACACATGCACACTCATACATGCACACACATACACACATGCATCCACCTGCACACATGCATGCACATACATGTACACACACCACATACACACAGGCACACACATACATACAGACACACACATGCATGCACACACCCTTACATACACACATGCACATACACATTATACACATGCACACACGCATACATGCACACACATACATGCACACATGCACACATACACACACATGCGTGCACACACACCCCTAAAATCTCTCTTCCTCTGTGGTCTCCGTGTCTCTACTCTGGGTACTTGCCGTCGGCCTCCGATCCCTTCTGTACAGGTCTCTCTGTGTGTCTCCGTGTCTCTGGTTCCTGTCCCCCTGACTCTTTCTCTCTTTGACTTTCTGTCTCCTCCCCCTCCTGCCATTTAGCACTTCAGAGCCTGGCTTCTTATCCTGTCAAACGAGAAAGCCAGCCCCGGCCTGGGGAGCTGAGGCCTGGCACCACCAGCCAGGACTGAGCCGAGATGATTAGGCTGATGAAAGGGTGTAAATGCCGCTTTCAAGTTAACAAATGCCCCAGAACCTTTACGGAAAAGAGATAATAAACGGACATTTCAAAGACAAAGTCAGCACTGAAGTGAGGCTGAGTGTCCACGTGCCCCTCTCTGCCCTGCACTTCTCTTCCCACCTCTCCTTCCTGGAGTATTTTGTTCTGCCCAAAAGTTGGAGGATGGGCAACCCCTAGGCTCAAGCCTGAGGCTTCCTGGCTCTGGGTTTGCATCAACACCAGGCCCCAAGTCCACGATGGCCGGGGTGGGGGTGGGGGGTGTCCTGATCCCACATCCAGGACTGTCTGAAGCAGGCACCTCCCATGGCGCCCCCAACTTCCTGGAGACCACCAGGGCAGTGGCTGCTCTTAGGGTCCCTGAGTGGTGGAGTCTCTGGCTCTACCCTCCATGTCACCTGGGGTCTCCCTGTCCCCATTCTTTCTCGGGTCCACAAGCGACTCTCCTCTCCCTGCAGACCCCCCGCTGGTCAACCTCTCCGTGGAGCCACAGCCAGTGCTGGAGGACAACATCGTCACTTTCCACTGCTCTGCAAAGGCCAACCCAGCTGTCACCCAGTACAGGTGAGAATCACTGCTGAGGAGGCCTGGCCTGGCCAGTGGCCCCCACCCCCATGCCTCTCACATATGTCACTTAGGATTCTCAGCATGGCCGCAGCGTGAGCCTAGTCCACAGCTGATGTTCAGTAGCCTTCTCCCCTTCCCCTCACGCCCACTGCCTGCTGGCCAGGTGGGCCCTTCCCCTCCTTTGTGTGTGCACGCGCCCTCTTCCACTGGAGGCAACAGAACTCACACCTTCTGCTTGAATAGCCTGCTTATCCCACACGCTTAACACGGGGAAAAAAAGGCTCAGGAAAAACATTCAGAACCACCAGGAGAAGCAGCAAGATGAGAACCTGCCTCCTAGCCTCGTGCCCATCACACAGGGTCAGCTGGCAGGTCAGGATGTCTGGGCCCCGGGCCGGTCCAGTGGGCACCCAAGATCGCACACACTCATGGGCCCTGTGTGTCCCTTGCTCATCACATGGATAAAAGCATCACTGTTTTTTACTTGTTTCTGCCTTGTGACAGCGCTTCTTAAAGGCAGGAACCTCAATTTAGTCGTTGATGGCTCTCAGCATGTAGCACAGCACATGGCATAAACCAGGTACTCCGTAAATGTGTCTGACTGATCCAATAAACACACAGGGCTGCTCCTCTGGGCACTTTTCTGCCTGGGCACAGTCACTGCACAAGACTCCAGGAGACTAAGCAACCTTGGAGGCACTCAAGGGCAGACTCACCTCCTTTTAAATGCCTCGTGGAACTCACCATGGGCCTGACTCAGCCCAGCCGCTGTCCACCAGCCCAGGCTTGGAGGTGGAGCCCAGGGTGTCACCTCTGCCACTGATCTGGGTCGTGAAGCTACAGCATCTGCAGGGCCAAGGATGCTAATGGCCTCAGCCTAGGAAATAAGCCGGCCTGGGGGAGTGGAGAACAGGGAAGACAAGAGGCAGTGTGGCCCCAGCAGGCAGAATGGAAGGAAATGGGCCACAGTGACAGCCAGCGATTCAGGCTGAGCATGAGGAGGAGCTCCCTGCAGAGTGCATAATTAAGCGGCACTGGAGTCAGAAATCCAGGCAGAGCACAGAGGCCCTATCCCCAAGGGAATATTAAAATAGGATGAACCCATCGGTCCTGTCCAATTGAACCATTTGCTGGACTAGAGTCAGAAGAAAGATCAGAGGACCTTCAGGGTGCCTTCTGAGCCCAGGACTCTGGGCTCCCAGAATCTTGGGGTCCAGCCAGGTCTATGGGGAAAGTCTGGTTTGGCTGGGGTCTGGCATCTATTCAGAAGCCACTGAAGATGCAGGAGAGGAGCCCGATGAGACTCCCTGCCCCTGGGCCTCCACATTGCACCTGTCAGGCCTGGGTTTCTCCATACAAGCTCAGCTTCTCTCCTTTGTCTGCTCCCAGGTCTCTGATCCTGGTCACTAAACACCAAGTACAACATGCCCAAAAATACCTGCGATGCTGGTTTCCCAGAGCAGCCCTTCACACCCGCAGACCACACAGCAAGCACCCCTATTCGCCCTCACAGCTACCCTTAGAATGCCTGTTGGACCCCAGAGACCAAGGCACTCAACTTTCACCTTTCATTTCCCCTCACTGCCAGGCTCCGGTCACCTGGGGACCTAGTGATGGGTGGGCTGGGCAGACAGAGGGCTGCATGCCCTGGGACCTGGCCCCTCCCACCCCAGGCCTGTCTCCCCCACCCACACCAGCCTACTTTAAGCAAACACCCAGGAAACAAAGTGCTGGGCCTGATTCCAGGGTCACCAACCTCAAAAAAAACAGAACAGCAGTGATAGGAGGGAGAAGAAGGTGTGAGGAGAGGAGAGGTCACCACGAAGCACATGTGAGAAAATGGTAACAGGTAAATCCAGGCAACGGGACTACTCTTGCAACTTCTCTGTAATTCCAAAGTTGGTTTTTTGCAAGCTAAAAAGTTCATAAATAAACACAAAGAGAACATGCAGGCTTCCCTAGGCTACAGGTGGCCTGTGGGTCCTCCCTTTCATCCTCTCCTGGAGCTCACAGTATCACAGTCAGCCCCTCCTGTGCCAAGCAGGAGCTGGGAGGGCAGGGCGCCCTGCAGAGACTCACTGGTTCTTACTGGTCACCTTCCCTCATGGCCTTCTGATTAGCAAAAAGCCCTGAAAACACCTCACTGCAGGGTCATCTCCCTCCAGGACTCCAGAGGCTTTCAGGGAGCGCTTCCAGCCCCCAGGTTAATGCGAGAGAGCTGGGGTGGCCTGGGAAGAGAGGAGGCAGAGAGGCCACAGAGATGGGAGGCAGTGTGCGCCTGCACCCACCCACACTCATTCAGCCCCTTCACTCCAGCGGGGTCTCACCAAGCAGCCAGGTGTTCAGATGCAATGTTGGGATCCAAGAAGAAAAGCCGGAAGCAAATCTCATCACATAAGTACATTGATTTTTCCCAACTAACTGACAAGATTACAGGAATATTTGTTTCTTTACTTCCGTTCATCTTGATAGCTTCCCCTCTGCTCTCGCTAAGAGGCTGTCATCTTTGAAACTAGCAATAACGCCCTCCTCCATCCCAGCACCCGGAAAGGAGGCCTGGGTGGCATGGAGGTGTCACCGCAGGTGATCCTAGGGACCAGCAGCCCAAAGTGCTTTGGGACCCTTTCCTCTGAGGGTCTCTCTGTGTTCTCAGCAGATAGCAGGACATGGCACCCCCACCCGCGATGAAACTTGGGCTGTTTGAGGACAACCTGGTGGCTGTGACATGCTGGGCCCTGATTCTGTGATATAAATAATTAATCCTCTTACATTTGTTCAGACCAAATTAGACATTGATTGGGAGAGGCTTAAGCTGACTGCATTTCAGAGGGGTTGGGAGAGGTGGGGAAGCAACAGTGCATCAGGGGGAGGTGGGTGGGGAGAGGGAAGGAGACAAAGAGGAAGGACAGGGAAGAAGAAACCGCACCAAAATCAGGAGAGGCGTGAAGAGGGCGCAGAGGGACTCACTCTTTGGCTCTTGGCCTCGATCCTTGGGCAGCTGCTTGGATGCAGTGGTTTGAGCCTCTGTATTTTTGGCAGGGACCCCTCGATTGTTTTTCAGAGCACGAGGGGAAGACCAGCTGGGAGAGATGTGAGCCGGGGGCTCTATCAGGTCCAGAGCCACCTCCCCAAAAGGCCTGGCTTGGGCTCCTGGGGACCCAGCCCCCACAGCAAACCAAGCCTTTCTTCTCCCACTCGCTCACCCTGAGAGGAGAGGACAGGATGGGAGGGGAAACTCGGAGCCTGGAGCCAGCAGCAGTTCGGCTGATAATTCAGCGCCAAGCAGGTGGGGCTTCCACCCTCCGTGGTGCTCCTGGTGAGGGGCCCTGGAAGAAGAGGAGGGAGCTGCATCTTCTCTAGGAAGACCTGAGGAAGAAGCATGCTTGGCCTTGTCACCTGGGCCCAAACCCTCCAGCCCCAACCCAGCACTCAGAACTGTGAGTGGCCAGGCCTCCCTGCCCTCCCAGCCCAGCCAGCTCCTCACCTGGCCTTCCGCTGCACCCACCACCTGGCCCCTCGCCTCAGCAGGGTGGAAGGAACTGGGGGACTGGACACACTTCTGGAACTGAATTCATTTGCCGCAGGCAGGGGCCAGCCTGACTATTAAGTCTGGTCATTAAATTAAAGTTAGAAATTGAAACAACTCATGAATAACTCATAATGGTTTGTTGGGAAGCTCCTTAAGCTCTCAGGGAGCTATGGTTTGTTCCGTTGTTAAACTATAATTGTTATTATTAATTGTGTTCTTAATAATTACCCAATATTAATTTGCAATAACAACTGCATGGTGCCAGCCTAGGTGTTCTGTGTGATGCCAAGAAGCAGCTGTCTCTTGGGGCTGGATGGGCTAGACAGAGGCAAGAAGCTAATGGAGGGAAGGGCAAGATACAGCATCTGTGATGCCAGGAAAGGCTCCAGGAATGAGAGAAAGGGGAGGGAAGGCAGGGGAGCGGAGACACTGCAGGTCCAGGGACCAGTGACTGTGGGGTGACGCTCTGAAGGCAAGGAGCCTCTGCAGATCTGGAAAGACAAACTCCCGAAGGACACTTCAACTGCAGTGGGAGGAGCCTGAAGAGATGTTCCCGTGGTTTCAAAAAGAGTGTTTTCCAGAATAGAATTAAACCAGGGAGATGGAGAACTCTCACTCCCTAGAGATCTTTAAGGAATCCCCCAACTGCACAGGCTTATGTGCATGTACACGCTTATACATGCACACACATACACATGCACATGCTCACACATCCACATGCTCACACATGCACACACGCATCCACACACACATGCACACACATACACACCCACACACTCACATGCACACACTCACACATGCACACACTCACACATCCACACACGCATGCACACACATATACATACACATTCATACATCCACACACATACACATGCACACACATACACATGCTCACACGTCCACATGCTAATGTCAGTCTCACACGTCCACACATACACATCCACACATTCACACATCCACACACACATGCACACGCTCACACATCCACACACACATCCACACACATGCACACGCTCACACGTGCACACTCGTGCATGAACACGTTCACACGCACATGCTCACGCATCCACAGGCTCACATGTGCACACGCTCATATGTGCAGACACACACATCCACACAGTCACTCATGTACATACACACATGCACAAGCTCACACATGCACACGGTCATGCATGCACACACATACACACACACATGTGCACAAGCTCACACATCCACACGGTCATGCATGCACATGCTCGCACATGCACACACTCACACATGCACACATTCACACACTCACATGGACACATACATGCACACACTCAAATGTGGACACAGTCACGTGGACACACATGCACACACATATGCACACATGCACACACACATCCACACATGCGCACATGCACACATTACCATGAATTCACATGCACACACATACATAACACATACACCCCTGTGGGGCTCTGGTGCTGCCTGCACACAGCAGGCTGCGGGGTCACTGGTCCAACACAGGTATCACTGCCCCAGAACCAGATCCAAACCAAGGCAGAGGTCTCTTGTCCTCCTGTGGTGTGGTACCAATTGGCTGACAAAAGAACCTTCCGACTCAGCTCCCCTCACCAAACCAGTGCTGATGGAGTCACTGCCTCAGAGGAGCAAAGCCAGGCTGCAAGGGCAGAGCTCAGGCAGGAAGAAGCGCATGCGCCACCCAGGGAAACTGTGAGGACTTTGTGGGGTGAGGAGGCACCGTGTAGTACCCCATGGAGGCAGGAGGCAGAACAGGACAGGAGAGCTGCCAGCTGGTCCAGAGGAAAGAGGGAGCAGCAGGCCCACTTGCTCATGCCACTCCTCGTGATGGGTATTAGTATTCCCCTGTCTGGATGGGAGATGGAGCCCCTACCTCTCCTGCAGCTTCTCGCCTTGTCAGTGTGTGTGTGTGTGTGTGTGTGTGTGTGTGTGTGTGCGCTCATGAACATGAAAGAGTATGCACCATTTGACTCTGGCCTCTGAGGTCATGAACTTGACCTTCTTTTCCAATGGGGCCCATGATGCAGGTCAGATCAGGACAGCCAGTGCCCACTGAGAGTTGGATTTTCTAGCATCTAGCCAGCAGATGGGCTGACCAGCTGAGTAATCAGCTCACCCCCTCTGGAATAGCCCACTTGTTGAGTGCCACTGACTGCCTGGTGACACCCCAAACCAAAGTCCACTGCCTTCACAACCTCATGGGAGGGAGCAAGACCAACTCCCCCGAGACCTTGAGGAAGCCCCTCTGTGAAAATTCCCCTTGACGGACTCCCAAGGGACCGCCCCCTTGCCACCCACCCCGGGCCTCATTTTCGAGATCAGATGGATACGTACAGCTCCCAGACAGGTTGGCCTTGCCACTTAAGGCCCACTTCAGCCCCTGGCCTTGGTTGCAGGTGGGCCAAGCGAGGCCAGATCATCAAGGAGGCATCTGGAGAGGTGTACAGGACCACAGTGGACTACACATACTTCTCAGAGCCCGTCTCCTGCGAGGTGACCAACGCCCTGGGCAGCACCAACCTCAGCCGCACGGTTGACGTCTACTGTGAGTGCAGGGGTGCAGGCTTCCCTGGGCAAGCAGGCACCCGGTGACTTCAGCTTAGGGCTGGAGAAACCAGGGCTGGATTCATTGCAGGCAACATAAGCTTCATGTATCACAAGTGCAGGATGAAAAGCTGGTTTGTGTGGTGTTTCATGTTTATTTCGATCCCCGTAATGACCTCACTAGTTAAGGTCTCGGCTGGGGCTGCTATGACACTACCATAGACTTGGTGGCTTCAATGGCAGAAATCAGCATGCGAGCATGGTGGTTTCTGGTGGGGATGCTCTTCCTAGCTGGCAGATAGCTGCCATCTTGCTGTGGCCTCCCATGGCAGACAGAAGGAGAGAAGCAGGCTCTTGGGGCCTTTTTTCCAAGCACACTAATCCCATCATGAAGGCTCCACTCTCATGATCCAACCCCTCCCCAAGCTCCTCCTGATACCATCCCACTGAGGCAAGGATCTTGGCTTATGAATTGGTGGGGAGGGGACACAAGCATGCAGGCCATTATGGGTAGATACTATTATTCCCATCACCTGAATAAGGAGATGGAGGCCTGAGGTCACACAGTAAGTGGCCGAATGAGAACTGAACCTGGGCAATGACCAAATCCATCACTCACACCCTCCACTGCCTTCCACTGAGGGGACTCGTGGACATCCCCTCTTTTTTACTGGAGGCCCGGCAGGGACCCGCAGCGAGGCAGCCCATTGCCATGGACTAGCTGGCTGGATGTGTTCACAATAAGCATCCTTAGCTCATGCACTGCCCCTGACAGTTTTAAACTCATTTTACAAACTTTTACAAATCTGACCCTCCCCCTCTCCCTAGAAGCCTCCGAAGAAAGTGCTGTTGCTCCCTTTTAACATCAAGGAACTAAGCCCGGTCTCCTGGCACCAGGTTTCAGGCTCTGTCTGCTCCCTGGAAGAAGCCCTCTGAGGCCTGCCTGGCCACAGTCGGACCCTGGGCCTAGAATCCCCGCACAGCTCCCACTGTGTAGACCAAGCTTGGTCTACAGGAGGCTCCGGACGTGCTGAGGAAGGTGGAGAGGAGCTTGTGTTCCACTCTTTAATGCTTAGTGGGAACTGGAAGCAAGGGCTGCTCTACTGCAGTGGGGGTGACACAGAGGCTGGGACAGTTGGAATAGAAGGGTGGCCTGAGAGCATCAGGTGGAAACATGGGGAGGAGGCATGGGTCACGAGACCCCTGCCTCCATCACCCTGCATCTCAGAGCCCCCATCCCACCCCAGAGGTGTACCAGTCGCTCGATTCCAGGTAATGAAGGCTGAGGCTGGAGGAGATGGGAGCTAGCTTGAAGGCAGAGGCATGAAGTTCCCAAAGGCCCAGATTTCCAGGGAAGGGGGAGGGCGCCTGCCCGCCACTGGGATGGAGGGCTTCCCCAACTTTCTGGCACCAGGTGGGATCCAGACAGAGGGAAAGGGAAGAGAGCCGTGGGGCTGAATCCAGGCAGAACCTGGTTCCCAGCCCCCATGCTGCTGACCACCTCCATGGGCCTGAGAGAGGCTAAGCCTTGGGAGAGGGGTCTCCTCCCTTCTTCCTGAGTCCCACTCCCAGACCCCAGACCCCATCCAAGCAGAAGACTAAAATGGAAGTGATTGAAGTGGCACAAGTACCCCACTGCCTCCCTTTCCCCACTCGAGTTCTGGGGGAAAAAGGTGGGTCCCAGAGCTCCCCACCCACCTGATCCTGTCTCCTTCTTCCTGGCACTGCAGTTGGGCCCCGGATGACCACAGAACCCCAATCCTTGCTCGTGGATCTGGGCTCTGATGCCATCTTCAGCTGCGCCTGGACCGGCAACCCATCCCTGACCATCGTCTGGATGAAGCGAGGCTCGGGAGTGGTGAGTCTGCAGCTCAGACCTCGGGGTGCCGCTGGCAGGGGGTGGGGGACAGTGGGGCTCGAGGGAACTGCTGTCCAGGCCCCCTCTCACTATTAGAACGGAGGAGTCAACCTCCAGTGTGAGCCACAGGGAGAAAGACCCCAGAAAGAGGAGGGAAAACCCAGGCACCCTCATGTGGCCATCTCACCCTGAGCACATTTAGCTTTGCGGTCTTGCCCTCTCCTAAACCTTTTAAGAAAAGTAGGTGGTCAGCAGCGCACTGGGAGGGAAGTCCCTGGAATGGCTTTGCCACCAGCCACAGCGGTAAACACCTGTGGTCCCAGCTACTTGGGAGGCTGAAGTGGAAGGATCACATGAGCTCAGGAGTTTAAGTCCAGCCTGGGCAACATAGCAACAAGACCCTGTCTCAAAAAAATAAAGGAAAAAGAAAAGAAAAAAAAGGCTGTTTTAACTTCCCTAAAATAAAGCCACCTTTCAGCCTTGGACTTAGGCTTATAAGGCATATGTAGTCATCTGGGCACAGTGGCTCACACTTCTAATCCCAGCACTTTCAGAGGCTGAGGCAGGAGAACTGCCTGAACCTGGGAGGCGGAGGTTGCAGTGAGCTGAGATCACACCACTGCACTCAGCCTGGGTAACAGAGCAAGACCCTGTCGCAAAAAAAAAAAAAAAAAAGACCTATGTATTCTTCAGTGCAGGAGAGATTGTCAGATGTCCTCACATAGTAAGGGACAGTGAAAGCCTTGGGTAGGGAAGCAGAAGGAAACCGAGCTTTATGTGGCCTGTTGTGTGGCAGCCACTGCATCATCCCACCAGGTCCCATACGTAGGAACTGAGCATCTGAGAAGATAAGGAGCCGACCAAAGAGACACAGGTTCACTGCTGGAGCTGGGATTCAAACACAGGCCGAGCTCATGCCAGAGCCTGTTTCCATCACTCCAGGCTATGTCCCAAAGGGATCCTGAAAATGACTCTGAAAACACAGGTTCAGGGGCCCTCACAGAATCATGTCACCCATGGCTAGCCTGGGAGAGGAGACACCACTGCAGGTACAGGGAGCTTTCTATAGGAGGAAGCCTGGAAGTCCCCAGCTGGGGATCTCCCTTCTCCCACACACGTGCCCTGCGTTCCCCCAGCCCACGGGGCAGCACCTGGGATGCAGCATCCTCAGCCACGCGGGGCAGCCTCTCTGCTGGTGGAGCCTCCTCTGTGCAGCCCTTGGGGCAGCACCTTTGATGCAGCATCCTCAGCCACGCGGGGCGGCCTCTCTGCTGGTGGAGCCTCCTCTGTGCAGCCCACGGGGCAGCACCTGGGATGCAGCATCCTCAGCCACGCGGGGCGGCCTCTCTGCTGGTGGAGCCTCCTCTGTGCAGCCCACAGGCATTGTCTGTACCAGGAAACTTTTGGCCTCTTTCCTCCCTTGTGTCCTATTGAGATGCTGGAGACCGCGTCAGTTACCCCAGGTCTGCCTCTCAGCTGCCTCCTTCCCAGAGATGGAGCGCAGCCTCCACCTGCTCTTCATGTCTGAGTCTGCCAATTCTCCTAGGTCCTGAGCAATGAGAAGACCCTGACCCTCAAATCCGTGCGCCAGGAGGATGCGGGCAAGTACGTGTGCCGAGCTGTGGTGCCCCGTGTGGGAGCCGGGGAGCGAGAGGTGACCCTGACCGTCAACGGTAAGACCCTCACTGGGATGAGCCAGGCCTGAGGGAGGGAAGAAGGACTCTAGCCATCTTAGCACCAGGCATTGCCCCAAAGGAGCTGTCACTGGAGCTGGGCCTTGCTGTCACCTCCAACTACGGGTAGACAGCGATTAGGTCCACCTCCTGGAATCCCTGTCAGACCCAGGCAGAGGGAGGAAGGGCCTGGGTATTTCTAGTCACCTCTCTCCTTGTTTGTTACCTTTGAAGGGGTCTCAGCCCTCAGAGTGGTGGGTGATAAATTTTATTCTGGACAGGAAAAAAAGCATCAGAGGTCTCTACCCTTTCATCCACTCACCATGACCTGGGCCCAAGAGAATTTTTTTTTTTTTTTGAGATGGAGTCTCACTCTGTTGCCCAGACTGGAACACAGTGGCACGATCTCAGCTACTGCAACCTCACCCACCTGAGTAGCTGGGACTATAGGCACGTGCCACTATGCCCAGTTAATTTTTGTATTTTTAGTAGAGACAGGATTTCACCATTGTTGGCCAGGCTGGTCCCCAACTCCTGACCTCAAGTGATCCACACGCCTCGGCCTCCCAAAGTGCTGGGATTATAGGCATGAGCCACCTCTCCTGGCCTTGTGGGAATTTAAGAGCTCATCTCTGCAGCTCCTGATCAGCCTCTTCCTGTTGCCTGTGAGACACCCAGCCAGGGAGCCCCATTACTATCTCCACAAGGCCATGTGTTCAGGGGCCCCCTTGAGGACAGGAAGTATGTCTTATTATATATAATAAACATAACTAGCCTGGCACAGTGGCATGCACCTGTAATCCTAGCACTTTGGGAGGCCAAGGTGGGCGGATCACAAGGTCAGGAGTTCAAGACAAGCCTGGCTGATATGGTGAAACGCTGTCTCTATGGAAAACTGAAAAATTAGCTGGGCATGGTGGCAAGCACCTGCAGCTACTAGGGAGGCTGAGAGAGGAGAATTGCTTGAATCCAGGCAGCAGAGGTTGCACTGCATTCCTCAGCAGCAGAGTAAGACTCCATTTCAAAAAAAATAATAAAATAAAGTAAAATAAATAATTGCAGCAGGGGAGTTTTTTCACAATGGGAGTCAGTAGATGAATGACTGTCACAAGATGCATATTGACAAAGGCGTCAGATCAGACCTGGATGATGGCTGGGGACAGTCCTGCAGAAGATGGAACCTGGCTGAAGCCAGACCCATGAAGGCCGTGGCACCAGGACGCAAATGCTGACATCCCTGCCTATCAGGTGCTTGGGCCACTGGCAGAAAGCAAAGCTGCTGGTCCGACTCCTCTGCTCCTTCTGAAGGCTCCCCTCACCTCTGT